AATCAGAGTGCATGTTTATTCGAACTCATGCAGAAAAATGGAATACCGTAAAAAGTCAAGCATTGTGTCGACGACTGGACGAGTTTTCGCGGACATAGTCATTGGTCCCTTGCTCCTCTTTGACTGCTATTTGCTGCATATTATTGTAGTAACGCTACCTATACGTCCTGTGATTATATACAATACTCGAGTTTTCCTAGGAATATACGTAATGCAAGAATATTGACGAATTTCGCCAGCGACAGTGATCGATACTGTATTCATGAAAAACAGCAGCCGTTGCGAGATTGATATGTCCTTTGATCCTCGCGACCTCGATATCTTGCGAGTGCTTTAGCCACGAAAACCCCGTATCATTCATTCCGAGTTTGAGGGGCTTCGCCAGGTAATGATACGGATATCGTTTTGGCTCACAGTTATTGCTTGACTTTTAAACGAGGCTTTCCATGATCAGAGTTCGCAAGGGTCGAAATCGGAGAAACTTGCCATGTGAAAAGACAGGCGCCCCTAAAGGCGAACCGACACACGATTGCACGAATAGTAACTCCGTGGCAAACGAGCAGGCTGTCGCCGCGTCGCGTCGCGCCCCACGCCACCGATTCGCGTAACCATTTCGCGGCAGGCCGTCGCTGTTCCGGAAAGAGCTTAGCGTTGAAGAGGGGAGCACGCGGATGTTGAGTTGCATCAAGGCGACATCGACGACAAGAAGGGGGCCATATTTCTCAGAGGAGTTCCGGGCCTCTCATATTATTTCTTGCATCCTGATACCATGATCTCTTACTCCCCTAACTGTTCCCTTCTTGCTGAGACCCACTCGACTGGTGTGATGAACAACCAAAATTGTTGGTAAGGTTATGATGCTATTTTTTCAAATAACATATCCAAAAACATAATACAGAGCTGCCTGTACAACGGGCGGTCTGCATTGTGTTAAGGTTGCCAGAGTCCATCCCTATTCGTATTTTCCGGTTTTCTGATGGAACGGAAGCGTGCTAGTGCTGGACAACGTAGCTAAACAACAGAGATAGTAAGCCTATGAAAATTATTCATTGAAAGAGCTTCTTGAAAAAAATCATTATTCAAGTGGTTTGCAACAATACTATGCTGTTGTGATAAAGTTCACACCAGGACCAATGGCCCGTTGAGATTTTTCCAACATATGGGTGATTGTCACTTGGTCACTTGTCGCTTTTGGGGACCAGTTGTGGTGCTGGTAGAAATATGCTGAAAAAGGGATATGCAGCAGAATTTTGCTGACTTCCAGAAGCTACACCACTACCCGCACACCATTGTGAAGAAGCTGGAAGGGGAGCTGCAGTGTGGTGTAAGGTTTTGCATATTCAAGAGGAAACTATCGACATTCATCGGTCGTTACGAGAGGTTCGAGTGTGGACTTCCACCAAAAGGGCGCGGTCACGAAAATGTTTGCTCCGTACGCTGATTGATTCAATCACTTCTATGGAATCCAGTCAATGTGCGGTGAACAATTAACAATGCGAACCGCACGTGTACACATCTTCGATGTATAAATTATAAAAGGATAAAGCATTTGCCGTTGATCAATCCCTTTTTGGGATGCGGCACGCATTCTACTTCCATTTGTACATTCGCAGTGGCATTTGAATGCGATGTGGCCTATACAATGACTTGCGGGGGCCAGCCGATGTACAAGTCAGTGTTTTTTATCCTCCCAGACAAGTCTGGTACCAATTAACCGACCCCGGAGGGATGGAAGGCTTGGTTGGCCCGGGCGACTCACGACCCAGGATTTGATCCCCGGACCGCTCGCGTGTACCTCGCGCGCACTTGGTTCACACAGCCACTGTGCGCTTCCATTTTTTTTATATTTTTTGAAAAATAAGCGAGGAACCCCTCTCTCGGTATCGGATACGTTTGCTGTTCCTAATTCATCAACTCTGAATAATTGCTTCAATCTAGTATTGTTTTGATTCGTGCCACAAACTTGATTTCAAATTGGCCCTCCTCTGATCTTCTCCAAAATTCACGCGTGGTCTGCGCGTGCCAGAGCTGGAAGAAGCTTGCTACGCTGATTACCTGCTAGAGGCTTTACCGGTTTTCCTTTTCCCAAAGGCAAATACAACCCCTTTTGCTCCCTCTCCGCCGCCCGCTCGAGGAGAATCTCCAGCGATTCTGTATGCTAATAAAGCCCGAAATCCGTCTGTGGTTTGTCATTTGAATACTGCATTTCACGTCTTGTGCAATGTGTCAAGCTAATGAAAAGATAGGTAGAATGTCAGAAAATCCGTTAGGTCACTTGGCGGTAGAAGACAGCTTGGGAACGACAGACGCACAACAGACGCCCGCGCATGAAGCTCCATCCCGTGTTTCGCCATCCGTTCGCTCTTGGATCCTCGTCGTCACAATCCTTATTTGGAACACGCCCACGCTTCGTCTCAGGCTTATCCACTGCTCTAGATCAAGTTTAGAGAAAGGGCTACATAGCGTCCATTGTTGTTCATCCTTCCATGCCGAGTCACGCCGCCACTCAATTATCCATATTCCCACTATACTACCCCCTCCCGCCCACCTTTTTTTTTCGTGGAACACTCATTTACCGCCACCAGACAGATTTTGGTCATTCTCCATTTACGAAGGGGTAGGTCCATGATGCCATTTCTCGGCGAAACAGGGTGTGAACCGACATCAAGCTCATATCAAAATGATCGTCATCATCGTCTCCCCTCCTCCCGTTCTGCCCTATCTTCTACTGGCTCAGAGCTACCATAGCTTTTTGGAAAAAGTGCATCATAATGCTCCCCCATCCTACTAGAATAGACCCCAATTGCTAAACAAACATCAACATGAACATCGTGCGGGCCACGAATTGGTAAACTCGGGAAAGAAGCGTGCAAACGTCCCTAAACTTTGGACTAGATTTAATGCGCATCTGGACCAGTCAAAGTTCCATCAGTCCATCAACTATTACATCTAAGAAATAGCTTCATATGTATGTTCACAAGAAATAATCACCATCGTAATGGACGAAAGAGAGTTCGCCCGCAGTCATGAGGGATATTCCGTCTCCAGCGAGTTTTTGTGCACGCGTCGCAGCTGCAGCGTGTGGCGCGCCAATTTTCATATTTCGAAGTTTTTTTTCATTGTGTTGTGTGCTTTTCTTTCCTCTTACTCCTTTTTCTTCCTGTGGAAGTCCGTTTGATTGTATGTGAATGTGTGTATGAACGACTCAAGCACCTCAGGGAGTTCAGGAACGTCGACAATTTAATATAGTCTTTAACACTTAAAGTCCTCTATCGATTGCATTAATCGTCTGTAGAACGACTACAAGCAGCCCTCAGCGATTTTTAGCGGAAGTGGAGCATTGGAATGTTCTTTAACTCACTCGACACCGCTGACTGAAATCACACAAACAATTAACAATATAATACTAATTAAAGTTCCCATTTTGCTAAGTGCCATTTGAATGTGATTGAGATACTCGTTGAGTCCAGTTCACTGTAGTGCTCGAGAAGAACTGTCGTCAAGTGCTAATGTAATGTTCGAACCCTTCCCTAACTCACTCTTTATAGGTGTGCAGTTTGGTTGTCCCACAACTGCACACCCTAATAAAGAGTTAGGAAATACAATATTTCAGTTTTCGCAGGGTATAGATCGGGTACGTGAACATTTGGCTTTGCTTTACCACGTATTGAGGCACTTCTCTAGCCATGACCTGTTGTATCAGTACATTGTATTTTACTGCACATAAAACACCGTTATCAGGATACTACCAATGCGACAATCCAGAGAAACATTCGAGTTTTCGGGGATTAGTAACAGAATTTGTACTGACGCTTTCGGCAAATCCCGCCTTTCGGAGCCTTAAAGAAAGTCGACAGAATGTGAACATCACAGTTATTCGAAATTGCCGTCAAATACGTAAAAAACTTTAAATGGGGTAAATAAACAAATCCCTAGTGGGTCGGAAGCCCCAATCCCAAGAAAGTGGACTCAGAATTGCACTCTCCTAAAGAATTCCATGAACAGCATTCACGATCCTTTGAAGGAATGCGCTGCCCGGGGATGGTTGAGCAGAAGAAGCAGGTTCAGTGCCTTGTTTTCAGTACTCCGTTTCGGTAACATACAATCACACAAATTTAAGGAATTAAACATGGGGGATCACCGACGTAGACTGTTAATATGACAATCTCTAAGGCATTTATTCTCTTGGGGAATTTACTCATATTGTCAAGTTACCACTTATTTAACAAACAATCCGAAAGCCTTCCGGTAAGTTACTTCACCATCTAACAAACAATTTCCGAAAGCTTCTAAGCTGATCATAGACAAAGGTTTGTCGGTCGTGTGCTGCGAAGTGGAACTATTAAGCTGTCACTAGTGTTGGTGCTAACTTAGTTGGGGGGGGGGGGGGCCACGCGGCGGCGCGGCAGTCTGCTCGCCTGGCATGTTCGGAAATCCGTGGGCCAGGGGGAGTGTAGGCCAGTCTAGGGGGTGGGGGGTGGGGGCAGTCACTTGACATGCGTGAAAAGCTGGAATGTTCGAGTTTACACTGTCTCGTTCGAGAGCCCAGGTGAGCAGACTGCCGCGCCGCCGCGTGGCCCCCCCCCAACTAAGTTAGCACCGTAATTAACTTCGTATAGAATAGTATACGAAGTTACGCTTCATCTTAGCATTCTTGTTAAATAAACCCTAACCCCTGTCCTATGTTAATACATAAATCATTTTTTCAACTTCTACATCTATTGGTTCAGCCTAGAGGGGGGGGGCATGTATGAAAAAGGAGAGAGGGGAAGTTGAAGAGAACTTGTTATGGCGAATGTCCTTCTTATGCTCAACCACACTGATCCAAATAAATCTCTTTCATCTCGTTTTTCTTTACAGAATCGCCTCATGGAGGACGACAGTGACGCAAGCATAGAGTTGGGGTATGTGTCAAATGAAGCTGAAAATGATTCCGCTGCGACATACCTCATGCTCAGAGGGCTGGTGGTAATATTCTGTTGTCTGAGCAACTTATTTCAATGAATGAACTCATCTCTGGACGAACTTCAAATAAGATATCTCTACAGAATCGCTCTCTGGACAAAGGCAACTCAAGCAATGAATTGGGAGATGTCTCACTCGGAAGCGCTCCACAAGAGCAGGCTGAAAATGTCAACCAAAGTTCACGCGAAGAGATTGCTGGAGGTTTACCAGAAATGGATGACAAAGACGTTGCGGAGATGAGCATGATTGTCGCCCAGATCGAGGGTGCGGAGGATTTCAATTTGACACTTGAGGTTAGCAATGAAATTCAAAAAAATGGTGATTTTGTATTTTTATAGTATTTTTTTTACGTAGATAGCTCCCTAAAATAGCTCGAACTAAAACTTCTAATCGAGAACTCCAATATATCGGAAATTCATTAGCACGGTAGGTGTCAGACTCCACGTTCCCTGCGTTTGCGTAACTTCATTTCGTATCTGTCTGCTCGGCTGCCCTTAATTTCATTTCTGCTTGTTGTGCAATCGTGACAGCAGCGAGGCTAGATCCTATGTGAAGAAATTGTTAGGTTTGGAAGAGAACTTTGCAACACTCTTTCCCATCTGATAAGTCCTTTCTTCGGAAGGTAAATAGGTAAGATTTTAAACAAGGAAGCGAAGTGGCAGAGCATTTGCATATACTCAACCACTAAGTCTGTATTGCGAGACCTAACACAAAACTGTGATTCTAGTCACCGACTCCACCGCTAATCTGCTAGTAACGTTCACCGGAATCTACCGCACACATTTCAGCTACCAGTCCACTTCAGTAGTTTAGTAGTAGTTTCATCTGTATCAGAGCTCTCGATCTCTCGATATTATTTAAAGCTGCTACGAAAGCTCGGCTTCAAATTCTTCGCTATGGGTACCATTATGAAGCGCAGGTCTACGCTGCAGAAATCCAAACGTTGGCCGAGTAGCTTATCATAAACGGTCGTACACAATGATTTCCTTTATTATATTGCGAGTCAACATTTAGCGAAATGGACACTTTAAGAAGTTCTGGAGCTAACTAAACAGTTACCATTTCTTCTGTTCCTTCAATCGCCACCCTTTGTGGCGAAAAAACCAAAAGGTCTATCTCAATTAGAAAGAAAAAAACGTGGCCAGATGCTTTTAAAAAGGCAGCATTCGCTTTGAAAAGAAAAAAAAACTTCAAGAAAATGTTCGCCTTAGAGTCAAGTGGTGGACACTGATGGTAGATATACAGTTGATTAAGACCAGTGAACAAGAAAGATAATATCAAAATCAAAAATGGGAAAGAAGTGTTGCAAGACTTTCTTTGCAACCTAATATTTCTGAAAATTGAATGGATGTCACCATTGCACTTATCCATCCCCTTGACGACCCGTCATGAGAATGTTAGAAGAGTGTCACAGGGACGGATTGTCGCACTGTTCATTCCGTATTTCCTTCGGTCTTGAGTATTTGATCAGCGACATTGATGTACTTTTTTTAAGACTGTGGATACATCTGAATATCGTGAACAATCGCATGAAGAAACTAGGCCAAAAAGCCGTCAGTCAAAGAAAGAAATCAGTCCGCTATACAAAAGCGATCAGGAGGGTATCGAAATGTTCTTGGAGGAAGGGATGAACGAGTCAATGTCAGTGGTATGTTCGAAGATGGTTTGCGACATTATCAGCATTTCTGTGGACTTTTTTGATTCATAATTCAACTCGATTTCTTATTGGTATTTTCGAGAGCGCGTGCGTTTATGTTATCACCCATAAACTTCATTCTTCAACTCGATAATAGTTCTCGAATTGTGAGCTCCTCACATGTTTTCGTTGGGCGGTGTGTAATTTTGACCCTAATCTCGCCTACGGTCTCTTTTCGAGCCCATTTTTTTGCCGGAGAATCCAACCTGTTAGAGATGATGTTGCAAGGAATGGTAAAAGAATCACATCTAGCTTCTCTATCTGATATATCACCCTTCGATACCGGTGCTCTTTCCTGTGCCCTTATGTGTTTCCTTTGCTGTGCTATGTCATTTAGCGCGCTGCAACCGCACCTCTTTTTCGTTCCCTCCTTAATCATCGCATGTGGCTTCGATGGCTGTTCCATTGTCAAGACATTTTCCAGAATTCGAAAGGACAAAGATGAAATTTGGTTGTGTCTACGCTTTATGATTGTGAATTATTTAGTTCATTTCGAAGAACTATCTTTGATGCTTTCAGGTAGAAGAAGCGAAGATCAACGTGTCTTTAGCGGATTCCCTCCTAAATGAATGGGCAACACCAGTGACGAAACGAAAACGTTCACTATCAGAGCGGACGGCGGAAGATCATTCCGAAAGTAACTTATTGACAAGTACTCCAGCTGGTCGGCTGAAATCTCTGCAGCAATTCTTTCCCGACAGTGGGAAATTCGCAACGTCGTCCAAGAAACGCGTCTCCACCTCATCAGACGAAGGTCATCGCTCACCCATGCGGAAAAGGCGAGCGAGTATTTCAGAAAATGAGAAAAGGTCACGTTCGAAGAGCTTTTCCAAAGTTGGTATTACCTCGCCATCTCATTCCATGGAAAAATCTCGTGTTACTTCTAAACATCCATTGAAAACTCGAAATATGTGATCACCTATTTTTTTGTCATCAGCTTTTTTTTCTTCTATATCAGGATTAGCAGACCGTGTGTACTCACAAGTGTTAAGACTCTACTCAATAACTCTACTTGCTGCTATCATATGGTATTTTAGCTTCATTTAAGCAAAATTTGGCATGGCTATTTGTCGCCACAAATCCATGGTAATTGTAGTTTTAGTGGGTGGCGTCACTTGACATTATCACCAAGAGCACCAAAAAGTCGACACGATATTGGTTTTTGTCCATACATTCTCCACATGTGCCTCAACAAGGCCTCCCTGCGGGAAACAAACATATTCTACGTCATAGATGTTTTCTACTGCTCTTAACCTTGGACTTTTGGTTAAAATTTACCGACTACCACATGGTGGGGATATGAACAATTTTTGTTCTCCTTGGTGTTCCTCCTCTCTCTTGGGCTTAGATTCAGTCCTAGTGTCACCCGCTATTTGCCCTGCTTTGAATGGTCCCCTCCCCCATAAGGCATGAGCATCGAGATCTACTTGCCACGTTTTGCACGTTTTATTTTTGTACATATGCAATTATTCAGTTATTCTACATTTGTTAGTTACGCTGCTCGTGTCATTGTTGTCAGTATCATTTCCTACTTACATTTCCATCGCCACATGTTTAGGTTAAGCTTCTTAGCAATTTTTCAGCTTTGATAATCAATTCTCTGTTTTATAATATTTGTCGAGTTATTTTTCATGTTTTTTGAGCCAGAAAGCTTTTTTATATTTACATTTTTGTTTCAGTTGTCCAATAACCATCTCAATTTTGATCTTTTATGTCTATCTCATCAGTGAATTCTTCTCTCTTTCATATCTAATACCTGTAACGCATAGCGTGTGTACTCAGTATTATAGTTGTGATTATATTTACTCATATGTGCATGTTTAGATGTATCAATGAAGTGATTTACCATTTTTCGGTGTCTGAAATGGCCGGTTTTGTTCTTGTTTGGCGTTTTTGAAATTACCACAACCCATGACAGCGCCTTTCTGAGGGCTCAAAAATAGCCTTGCTTCACTAAACAAGGACAAATTTTATGAAGGCATCGGATTTCGAATACGCAAGCCTGAAATCGCATTCCTGTGGGTCGACTAAATGGTTTCAAACTAGGCCCGGGGATCAGAAGTTTCTATGCATCAATTGGCCCTCGTGAGTCATTTTGAACATGGTTGCTTTATCGCAATAGATCTGCTATTCTTGAAAGATGAGTACATGGCGCGCTCTGAAGCGGACTGTCAGTGTAGACAATTGATCTCTCCATTTTTGATGATGGCGTTGTCAAACACATTAAGCAAGAATGTTTATATTTCAAGATGGAATGATACAGTTACTGCCAAGGAGTATTGTAAGTGACTAAGTAATCGTTATTATAGTTGTGCATACGCAACAGTAGGACCAATGTGATCATCATCCACATGGAAACACGTCAACATCGAGCGCTCCTTGCTTATTGTACTTGCTTGATAAGGTGTAGTTGCTGAAATAGATCATGACAGCGAGCAGGTATACGAAAATTACGGGATCAAAGTCGCAATCCTGCGATTATCTATGGAATCCTATGTTTCGGTGGCATAGT